GAATAAGGGGTTCCCTTACTTAGGGTTTAGGGGTTAGGGTTTAGGGTTTAGGGTTTAGGGTTTAGTGTAGGGTTTCCTTTGAGGGGTGCTTCAAGGTTCCTTGAACTTTAAGGGGTCCTTTAGGGGTTCCTTTAAGGGGTTCCTTTGAGAGGTTCCTTTGATTGGACTGTTTTGCATCCATGTTGGTAAGGTTGAGTCAAGGTTTCGGGTTAAATGGCTTATGCTGGATCTTTGATGCATTGGGGTTAGGATTGACTAGCAAGCAGCTATTACAGTGCTTTAGGATGGAATCTGAATGGTAAAACAAAGAAGAAGCTGCGGGGCTTCTTGGGGTTTTCTGGCAGTCTATGACATGGAGCTGCCAGGATCCGTCAGCATCATCCCCGGCGTCGTGCAGCGAGTAAGTATCGAGTTTGGGGAGGTGTAGTGGTGCAGTTTGACCTGGCCGCCATTCTCAGAAGTGTTCCGGCGGCCGGGACTCTTGCATGTGATGGCTGTGCATCTACACCAGACTCTGCGTCTCTTTGTAAGAGGGCAGTGAGAGTTGGGTCTGTCTCGAACTCAAGGTTGGGTGCAGCTTGCCGTCAGTCCTCTCACATCTTGTTTTTACTACGGTTGCGTCCGTCTTGCATGCATACCCAACCTTTGAGTGGACAGTGTTGCTGTGCACGTACGCCGTGCCTGTTCCAAGGCAAAGTCACAAACGGACCTTTGTAGCAGGCGTCAGTCCCGGCCTCATGACAGAGAGGCAAAAGACTGTGGACAGCGCCGCTGCTACAGGCAATGTAGGAACCTGATGAAGAACCCCTTTCAGTTGAGAATTAAAAAGTAAGTAGTATACCGTTAGGGTCCATAGTATACAGACCCCTAGCACTCACCGGGGGCTTCTTGCTCAGGTTCCTACATTACCATGTTCAACCTGGCTCTCTGTTCGATGTCAGGCTACACTTCCCAGGAGTTCAAACTGGCCCGAATAGAGAACCCTTCAGAAGACATGGTTTTTAGTTGCGAGAGCCAAAAATAGGACAGGATCCCGAACATGGCACTTATTGTATGGTATACTTCAATCGGTCACGAACCCCGCCCCATAAATGGCTGAGGCTTTGCTGTGAGTCCTGACATGGGCAGCTAGTCAGCCAAGCTACGCCACTCCTGTGCTTCTAGGATTGAGTACTGTTACTGTCGACAATCCCATAGAACTCGACGGCGCAAGGAACCCGATACCATGCTTTTGCCTTGAAACCTCAGAAAGCCCAACCTCGCAGAACCAAGCCTCTAGGGTTCAGGGTCAGGAACATACAGGAGCTCTGATCCTCCAGCAGCCAAAGCTCATTAAAAAAAACCTATTCGAAGCCTCGATTAAATGATTTCAGTTTTCAGTTCCAAGCGGTAAAGGAAGGCAAAGACGCTTTCCAGAGCAAGGGCCGCCGCAGACCTTTTTAACGGGGGGTTGTTCCAATTTTGGCTCCCTTGTCAAAACTGCGTATAGGGAATAGGGAACTTATACAGATTAGGGAGTGTAGGGGTTGAGTGTAAACAGGAAGAAGAGACGGATCTGTAAGGGAGCCGTGGGTTCGGAACAGCCAGCAACTGCCGGCGTCACTTCGCAGTAATTTTGAATTCCCTGCCAGCACCCAGAGCTCAGTGTACCCGGAGAAGTCTTAACCCTTAACTTATGCCTCCCTTCTCATTGGATGTTCGACTATGCCCCACTCTGGTAAGTCGTGAATCGGGTTGGCCATGGATGGATGAGCACGATTATTCCGGCGCCTCGGGCCATAATTAAGCCGAAAAATTAACTGAAGTGCCCGGGACCTGCGCTTAAATCATGGATCCCAGCCGCTGAATTGTCAAACCCGGCCATACTACAGGATGCAGAGACAGCGTAGCATGTTAGGTCGCAGGACACCACTACCAGCAAAGGAGCCACAAGTAATCTCCTTCCGTGCTTTACTGCAGAGTGCGGGGCCATAGCATTACCTCACATCTGGGTACCTGTGGCCGAAGTCTTAGGCCCCACGTAGCCAGTGCTGCCCAGAAATCGACTCCAACTTTCAAAGCAGCCCGACGTTTTGGGGTTTGTAGGGCGTATTGTCGGATTATGGGAAGCGACAACCTCTTCCATAACAAGTCTGGGGCAGCTGGAACACAAGAGAAGTGACTGGGCCCGTTGCGGTACAGCTCTCGTGGCCATTCTATCGTGTGTCTCCAGAGCCTTTACAAGGAAGGGATCACAGGGTCGGCGTGGAGCTACCTCGGCTGCGACGGCTTGTGCAACGCAATCCGCTTCTATCGGCCCGTCCTTCCTTCCGCTTACATTGACAAGTGGTTCCCGCGTCAAAGGCGCGCTTGCATCAAGCATCAACTACGTTCCCATTTTCAGTCGAGTGCTGCCTTCTTTTACGTTTATCGTGATTTCAGAAACAGTTCTTCATAGTTCAGACTCTGACTCACAAATGAGCGTCACCTAACTGTCGTGCAGTTCTCGTCTGATATCACTGGGCCGCCCGTGTCGCAGAAGCAACATCCCCTACGAGGACAAAAGGCCTTTCCGCAAACAGTGTTTTAATGTAGAAGCCAAAATACTTACCAATATTATTCTTAGGGCTCCTTATTATAATGATACGAGAACGGCCCCGAAACCCTATTCTAGTTATTAAGGCCCCTTCCTTATGTCAATGTTTTTGCATTCCATGAGGCTGTATCCTCACAGGGGATTTTTGGATGCAGGGTTATTCGGGGTGGCAGCACTTTCTCTCTTTTGGGAGTGTTGCGGGTGTTGGCGTGGCTGTTTCAGCTTTCGGGGTTTCGGCTCGGTGCTTTCAGGTTTCTCGCTTAGGATGCTGCTTGGAAGACTCCTTGTGTCAGAAGATCGATGCACCAAGCGGAAGTCATTAACTCAGCCCCCCCTGCAGTTCAATGGTATCTCAACCCACACTTCTCGTTCCAGCTAGGCGCTTGCGAGATGAACACAAAGGTTTGGGGGTAGGGGTGGGCGGTTGGCTAGATGCATGATCTTTCGTTCTGAATCCTGGAAGGTTGCGTGGCTACACACGGTCTTTCAGAATCTGACAACCCCCAAAACCTAACCCTCAACCTCACTTGTAGTTAAGCCTGACCCTAACCCCCCAGGTACCTACTATATAGGGTACTAGAGCCCCTAGGGATCTATACAGTAGGTACCTGGGAGGCTCGGGTGAAGCTGGAGCAGATACCCCCGGCTTTGCACAGGCTTTTCAATTCGGCTGCAGATCGACATCTGGGCCGGCACCCAAAAGGTTTCTGATGCAGGTGAGAGTATACTGTAGCAGCCCAAGCCTCCACACCGACCCTTCTGGCCCTTGTGGTTGGCAGGAGCTTTGGCATCCGTTTTGGGGGTGATCAATCTGAGGTCTTCGTTCTTTCAGATACACAACATTGTCGCCCTGAAGCCTTTAATGTTCAACACGATCGAAGTCGATGGCGCACTGACGCAAAAACCTACCCAAGGGCACTGCATGGTTCTGTTCCCCAAAGCAGCCACTTCGCGATCTTCGGGGCCGGATCTGGGTTCGCAACCTCTGCCAAATCTCATGCACATGCACTTGCTCCGACAATGTTGAGGGTGTGGATGTGTGTGGATGCTGCCTTGAACCGCAGGTAGAGGTGTTTTCGCAAAACCCATGCGCCTTCGTTCTCGCCGCTGCAGTAGCACGGGCCCAAAATCATAGAGACCCGTTCCACTTGCTGGCAGGACTGCCGGGCTTGCTTGACTGGAGAGAGTTCCGCGGACTAGTGGTACATCTGCTGGAGGGGCTTATGTTTCTCATGAGGCTCCCGCTCTTAAGCGTTTCATCTTAGGGCGCCACCTCCTGAAACTCATAGTGCTGGTGCTTGTGAGGCCGGATGTCATCTCATACCCTCTGGCCACGCACCGCCAGCATCCATCTCTATATTTCCTGCACCATCGGCACCATGTGTCAGCTTCAGGATTCTGAAAGCAGCATGAAGCTGGAGGCTCCAAGCATCTCTGAGCTTTGAGGTCCAAGTCTTCCCCTCCGAATGAGCTCCAAAGTCCCAGAGAAGCATGTCTGAAAAGCTCTCAATCAGCCCAATTCAGTGTTCAACATGCCGAACTCACGTCGCCGCTGCGCTTCTTGTCGTTGTTGCTGCTCATCTCCCAGATGTATGATCGTGCTTACCTGCATTGTCGTCCTTCATGTTCGTATTATCACTGCCATGTAGATGTTGTTCCCACTTTCTCAATGCCAACTTGCCGTTAGAATTCCAAGTGCATGATTACCCACATGGGGGCTTCCGAAAATAGGGGGCCCTAATATAGTACCCTAAATAGTAGGATCCTTATTATAAGGACCCCTAAATAAGGTACCCTCTACTTTCGGAAACTCCCACATGGTTCTGGTCATCATGACCTTCCGTTTTACTTCGGGCCGCGGTTCTCCATCCCAAGCGCGGGTCTGTCAGACGTCATGAGCAAGATGCGTCTCAGCCGTGCCAGACGTTGGGTACCACGCCTGCAGAGCTGGGAGCCGGGTTAAGTCTCACGACGAAGCGAGGTGCAGCGACTGCCCTCCGCAGGAAGTCTACGGTTTGTAGGTTTGTTTGCTTGAAATTCGGTGCTCACCAGTGGCCATCAGACCCGGTGCACAGAGGCGGATGCCCCCGTCCGCATGCCAGGAGAGAGAGAGAGAGAGAGAGAGAGAGAGAGAGAGAGAGTGAGAGTGGTCATTTTCCTGGGCAGCTCTTCACCCTAACCCTGTGGAACGAAAGGCCATTATCTTTGTTCGAGTGATGCTTCTTTTGTTTGTGAGTGTTCTGTCCCATCTCCGCTTCAAAAACAAAGACAGGATTGGCTTTTGCATTAAACCCTATCAAGACCACAGAGAAGCTACAGTTTACACTCCAGAAGGAAGGAACATAAGTCAAAGCACTAAAGTCACTAAAGTTGGCAAACAAACGAAGGAACAACATAATGATGCTAACGCCCACCGTCTGGAAGGATGCTTCCGCGCGCCTTTGCCTCCCTGAGACCGTCTCTGCGGCCGTCGCGAGGACTGCAGCGCCACTTCTCGGATGCCTGGCATGGACTGCCCCCAACCCCAAAGGGATGGCTTTCGAAGGATTGGGTCGAAAATACCGAGAGTTGTCTATCACCTAAACCCCTTCGGTGTTGGGGTGGGTATCTTCGGGGTGCAGGAATATAGACCGCAGATCTCATCCACAGGGGACTGGAAGACGTTACCATGCAATGCGGGCTCGTCCTTGATAAGTAGGAGGCAACAAATCCACAGGGGGGATAGGTCTTGCCGGGAGGTCCTTACAAAGACCGCTTGTAGCAGGGACTCATTTTGAAGATCGGCCCTCCATGCCCGTTGCTCTTGTTTTTTAGGTTTTAGCATGGGGGGTTAGAGGTTAAGATGGTTAGGTTTGGGGGCTATGGGGTCAATGCGACTACATAGGTTTTAGGATCTCTAGGGCTCTAGGGTTTTGGGGGATTCAAGGGTTTCGACGTTTTGGGCTGCGGGGAGATGATATCAAGATGCGTGCTTCAGCCGTGGCAAGATCCGCAGTTGGCCGATCTATTTAGTTCGGGATTTGGGCAGGTCAGCAAGCGTGAGTGATAGATAAGTCTGATACGTACATAGATAGACAAATAGATACACAGATATAGACGCACATAGTATAATTTCTGATTTCTTACTCTTTGTGCGAAGCAAATGCAAGATAGTGTCATGTTTTTGAAAGAATTCTGAGCATGATGCCCCACCGCGGGTAAGAGCAGGTAGATAAGATTCTACAGTATAAACCTCACCTAGCCCGTGAGCAAAATCTGGGATAACGAGCTTCGTGATTTTGAGGTATTGCAGTAGGGATATGGTAGTAGCTTAGTAGCTTTCCCTATTGTGCATCCTGATGCAAAACTACTTGAAGCCAGGAACTTATCTCGTGCATGCTTACAGTTTGGGCTTTGTGCCCGTATGTTTGGGCTGTAGGATACCGAGCTCCACAACAGCCCTAAGCACATAGCCTTGAACATTAGCGAAATCATAGAGAAAGATGTGAAAACCCAGAGTTCTCCGAGAGTTTCGGCCTCTGACGAGCGAGGCCGTCACTTTGCCGGCAGACTCCAATCAGGCGCAGGGAATCGGCCAGTACGCCAAGGAGCTCCTCCGTTCCTTTTGTTTGCTAGGGTCCGGGTTTTCTGGGTTTGAGGTCAGAGAACGTTTAGGGGGTGTTGGGGATGATGACAGGCTCCGTAGGCTGTGCACAGCATATGCCCGCGTAAGCCTGCTGCTGGTTTAGGGCTTATAGGCTTTAGGGTTTAGGGTTTAGGGCTGCATTGTCAGACGCGCTCAGCAAAGGTTCGAGCTTGAACTGGCATTCGATTGTTAGACGGTGCCGACAGTACAAGGAGAGCAGACGCAATAATCAGCTCTCAGCCGCGGTACCTTTGGGGCAGTACGAACAAAATCGGACCTGGCAAAGGTGCTTTCAAAGTCGACTGCACATCGTACACCGCTAGGACCTCATAGATGGGAAGTACGGCGACAATGTTGATGCTTCCGTCTATGAGCGCGTGGAGATGTTCCACACAGATTCCGCAGGGCCCCAAGACAGTTCTCGTGTCATCTCGCATTCAGCAGATTCATGATTCCACATTCCCGGGATCCTTCCAAGTGCTCAACACAGCAAACAAATGCCAACCCCTGAGGCTGTACAGTAGATTTCTGACATTGAGTTAACAACTGTCTTGAAGTCGGAACGTCGAGTGCATCACGACATGGCCACTTGCCTAGATCCTGCCTTGAGTGGCATAAGTCACAAGTTGCTGACAGCCTTTTCCTATTGCCTGCAATGCGGGCTCGTCCTAGCTAGGTGGGAGGCAGAAAAACCTTCAACCCGTGTAGAAACTAAAGTACTACATCCGCCAGAAGAAGAACCGCATCTGCTTCAATCCGACCTTGAAAGCGCAAAACTTCCTCCACAGCCAGGTGATGTGCGGCATCTCGGCACTGGCATTGAAGACAAATGCCCCGACCTTGTTGCGCGAGGATCGTCCGGCGAACTTTGAAATCTCTCGAGTGTAAGATTTAGTTGGACATGGCTTTAGGGATCTTTAAAGCTTCATGGAGTTGCAGAGCGAGGGGGGTCGGCCAGAAGTTTCAAGGCCTGTCAGTTCGCCTTTTGCAGCCTTGTGCGACGCCTTAAGCATGTCCTCTGTTGCTTGCAGGAGGCACTGACCTACAAGGACACGAAGGGAGCCACCGTCTTTGGTAGCAGCGCCCATCGGCTGAACGTGCTTGTCTTTTTTTGTTCCAAGGGTCTTTGGTTTGTCTGTGTTTCTTTTGATATTTCAGGCTTAATCTCGTCAAATTGGGCTTAAGACTCTCATGCCGTTCCCATGAGCATGGCTAATCGAGCACCGGCGATGAAATCAGCAGTACTAGTATAGAGGTACGCGCTACCCCTACAACCATTGGTGTTGATCATGCCAGGACATGTGTGATTCTCTCTTGATGGCGGTGGTTAAAGTGCTTGAAGATGTTACTGGAAGGACCACGGCAGTTAAAATGGCGACATCGACAATGTCAGTCATTAGGGCAACTAGTTCCGACAATGAGATGCTTTTGTCTTGCTTGGAGATGTGAGAGGTCGGTCTCGAAAGGCTTGACAACCAGACTTGTCATTGATAGTAACGGCAACAGATTAGAAGAGAAAGTCTCACTGGTAATCGCTTTCGAGTCCAAACCCTACTGCGATGTTCCAGACCGAACAATCACAACAACACGGGCTCAGATGGTTGGTTTGTGGAGACGTCACAGACATCTGCCTGGCAGCCGGGGTTTCTGATTTCGGCCTTTCATATCGTTTCGAGTCACTTGAATTGACAACACAAGGAAAAGTGCGCGCCGGAGAAGGTGATTGCTGCCAACGCCTCTGCCGTAGCTCGGCTGGCAAAAAAGAGGGCGTGTTGTTACGGACGCATGTGCACCTTTCTGAGCACCTGTCCAGCCTTTCATTCAGGAGTCGCAAAGATTGTGTCAAAAGGATCGTGACTTCGGTGCATCCTGCAGTTGCAACTGAGTTACTGCTGCCAGCCACCCAAACCGTCAGTCATCGCCGCTTTAAGCCCCATAATCTCTCAGCCCAAAGTGAGACGTGCAAGCTGACAGGAAAAGGGTCGTTAAGAAAAAACAAGTGAGAAGACAGCTGGCTGACGAGAAGCCCTTGGCCTCACTTCGCCTGTCCCTAGAAGCTTCAGCATCCTACTGGTTTGGGTCGAAGCTGAACTCAGTAAGGGCTCCTGCCTTAAAGGATTCCCCGGGGGGTACCTGGATTTGGCGTTTAGGGTGGCGGGTTCCGACCCCTGAACACTGAACCCTACGGGTCCGGGTCAACGGAGACGCTGAGCCGTCAACACTGCTGGTTCCGGTTGAACCGTACCCCCTAAATGTTTGAAACTCCTGCACATCCTACACCCTATCAGCCCTAAACCCCTATTATTGCTTCAACCCTAAATACTAGGAACCCCTGCACATCCTATACCCTGTCAACCCTAAACCCTACATTGCCGTAACCCTAAACCCTAAGTCCTCCTCGTATCAGTCGAAGCCTCGGATCGCAGGTGCGGGAGTGGGATTCCAACGGCACTGTCTTCGGCCCCTGAGCTTCAAACCCTGCTCGGCTAAGGGTTTTCAAGCTAGTTGTTGTTTGGTTAAGCTCAAACCCTAAGCCCCTAAACCCCTAAGCCCTAAACCCCCAAACCTCTAAACCCGAAGCCCCTAAACCCCTAAACCTCTAAACTCGAAACCCCTAAACCCCTAAACCCCTAAACCCTATAAACCCTGAACCCTAAGCCCCAAACCCTATAAACTCTGAACCCTAAACCCCAAACCGCCCCAAACCCTATAAACTCTGAACCCTAAACCCCAAACCCTAAACGTTACGGTATTTACTTGGGAGTCTAAGGTTTGGGAGTTCGGGCCTTGGGCTCCATCGGCTTCAGGGTTTCGAGTTTTAGGCTTCATAAGGGTTTAGGATTTTAGGGTTTAGGGGTTTGGGGGTTAGGGGTTTAGGGTTTAGGGTTTTGGGTTTAGGGGTTTAGGGTTTAGGATTTTAGGGTTTAGGGTTTCAGCTGATCAACAGAGTCTGGGTTCAAAACAAAGGGGTTTAGGGTTTACGGGTTTTCGGGTTTTAGGCTTTAAGGTGTCTGTCGTGGCTGAGTCACTGCAAACCAGATGCAAAATCATGTCTATTTTTTTGTTCGGGTTTAGGGTTTAGGGTTGCCCACCCCAAGATCAGTGACTTATACGTAACCACAGGTGTTGAGGCCGCCTGTATTTCTGGCAACAAGGACATCTCCTAAACCCGGGGACCGTGGTTCTTGTTTGTCTGCTCACAGCAAAAAGTGCAAGGTTCGCTATGGCCGAACCTTAAAGCCAGATCGATAGCAGCAACAATAGAAACATGGAGCCTGAATGCAAAGAGTACTGTAGAATTATAAGCCCGCGAATAAGTCTCATGAGCCTCCTCATGTTCTGCAGGGTTTCTGCCCGAGAGAGCTTCGGTGCATCGAGCCATGCACCGACAACTGAGGATTCAATCCGAACATCCCTGGCCATGATGCAGGCGGCGACCGATGTTCGAGTTCAAGGGCAAAGAACATTATCTAATCTAAGACATAAGGGTTTGGAGGTCGCATCCCAGAGAGGGATTTAGAAGGAGCGTTGTTAAATAGCGCACGAGTGTTGATGGGAGCTCGAGGCAGGGTCCATAGAAGTGAGCCGTCATAAAGGTCACATAGGTGCGGTAGTGGTACTGCTAACGGCATTCGAGTTCTGCCCTCAGCGAAGCAAGCCCTCTTGCTCTTAGCTGGCCAGCAAGCAGTTCTATGTCTTCAACAAGAGTTAAATGAACCCAGGGGAGACTTACTTTTGTGCTCCCTCAAGGCTGAGTAGCCAAGATCTGGCAAGGTGAGTTTGGCCACAACGACTTTTACCCAGTCGTGATGGCAGCTGCGCAGGCCCAGGTTTTGCACGGGGGGGGGGGTCAACGCATGTCCGTTCTGGCGAGTTAGTGCTCTGGTATTATATCGTCTCGCTGTCCCTCCTTAGCGGGCTTTCGGTTGCTTCGTTTGCTCCCTTCTGGGGATGATGGACCAGCGCATAGTAGGAAGAGAGTATGTCGAGACGCGAGAGCCGAGAGTAAGTCCGAGGCTCCGTCTCAAACAGGCTCAGGCAGCAAAGGAATCTGCACAACCAACAGACTGGTTTGGGGCGAAGTCTGGGTTTAGGGAGAATAGCAGCCCCAAGCCCCAAACTCAGGTGACAGGTAAGGTGGATGGCAAGAAAGCCTTGCTGGCGCTGCTTGGCACAGCAAGTCTTCACAAGTTCTGGGTTTGCATAGAACCTTAAACACCTGCGTGTCCAGGGTTCCGCATAATTTAGCCGCATCATGTGTTAGTATGTTTCCTAAACCAAGAAAGTTTTGCAGGGTTCAACTGGGGTTTTCTTGCTTAGGGCGAACACCTCCGACGAGTTAACATGGCTGGGGACAATCAGTGCATGTTGTGTTTCAGCAACATCTCAACATATGGCCCCGAAACGGAGTCGGGACGTGTAGTTTGTGTTTGCTGTAGCTCGTTTGGTATTCGAGCACACCAGGTATTACCATCTGTACATCTTGCACATGAACAGTGCTTCTGTCTGGAGTGCCCGCTTCACTGGAGATGTATTGTGCACCCTGCCCGGGCTCGAAGCTGGAAGATCCCAATCAGCACACGTGACCATCACCTACTTCAGGCAGCATTGAAACCGTTGTCATGACGCCTCAATGGAACCTGTACCAAGTCTGAAGCGAACTGTGGGAGACATCCACGCATACAGTTACCGGTCACCTCTTTCTGCTCGGATGCATGTCTGCGAGACCTTGCAGGAGGTTCGTGCAAGCATTGTGGCTTCCGTTGCTGCTTCGGCAGTTGTGTCTTGATATCTGCTCCAGCGCACAAAGTAGTATCATCGGGCGGAGGGCAATCGCTTTGCTCTCGAGATCGGAGCAAGAGATAGCGATGACGACGCTCAACAGCAGGATCTGGAGCTGATCCAGGAAATGAGGAATGCCGGCAGCCGAGGTGAATGGTTTCCGGCGCAGAAAGTTTTTTGAAGCATCGAGTACAAGCAATGCCGCAGTATTCAACACGGCTCTGGCACCAACTGAAACGAGGTCGCGTTTTAAAGGAACTTGAAGCTGTTGTGCAATTCGGCTTTTTGCCAAGCGGGAGCAGACGAGTCGGGTCTTCGGCGTTTGGGACGATGTCCATGGTGGAGATTTTGGAGCGACAACGAGAGCGCATGCCCCGCTATGTGTGCGACGCTGTATGCAGTCTCGAAAACAGGCACCGTGACTTGTGCTGTCAGCCGTTTGGACCGACGGGGCAAAGTTCTTAACATTTTGATTGGAATCGGGCCTTGAACGCATGCAAGGTTGCAAGCAGCCCGAATGCAGCCGCCCATTTGTTTAAGGAGCTGACTGTTCGAGGCTTGAACGCGACTATGGTTACCATATTCACTCGTGATGGCCTTTGCATGTTGGCTCGAGGCATTGAGCCTGAAACTACATTCGTGGAAGAACTCGTGTCCGCAATCCTTAATT